CTTCGGTCAGAAAGCGCTCCTGCGCAAATTTTCTGTCCGATGCACGCAACGTCAAAAAATATCCAAAAAAAAAAAAAAACGGTAAAGATATTCATCGAAACAGATCGCAAAAACAGATACTCTAGACAGAAATGATTCAAGTAACTTTATTCAAATTGATGCACTGAAAAAAGAAATTGATATAAATATTGAAAAGACGAAAGAGCAAATCTGCTCGTAAACGAAGTACTGACCAATGAATGGGGCAAAAATAATGAAAGAAGGGCATCATTCTTTCCAAACGAAAAAAAACAAGCGGATGGAGGAGGAAGGGCCCCGGGAGCTGAGGCAAAAGGGAGGGAGGAAAAAAGGCAAGAGCTAAGGAAGCAGCACATATTACAGAGATGCAATTCCTAAACATTACCCATTCGAGCGTATCACAAAATTACATAAGTGAGCAAGCTTCGGCAGCTTTTGTGATATCATCAACACGAGGATAACCGGTCTGCGGATCGGTGATCCAGCCAGGTGGTGTTTCGCCGACCAGCTCCTCTGGCGGATATCCGTAGGAGTGAAGCTGCATCATCAATGTACTAATCCTGTCAAATCGCTGTTTTGCCTCATGCGCACTGCTCGCCTCCTCCTTCTCATATTCCGCACAGACGGATTCCAGAATTTCTATTTGCTTCTCGTAGCGTGCTTTTGTTGCCGCATCCAATTCATTGTGCTCCAAAAGGTAACTGAAATCTTAGGTTAACTTAATGCACTGCAACGGAGAATAGTCCCTTATTTTACAGTCCGTTCTTTTGATCTGCACAGTCCCTTACTTACTTTACATGTTATGCTTCGGTCTACGTAAGGCTGCAAATCATCACTTTACAATTTCCGCTTCCCCGCTGATCCTGCTTGGGACTACCAATTTTGGCTGGGCTTCTATGGCCTTTTCTTTCTTTTCTGTTTTAGCGGAAAATAGTCTGAATAGCCGCCGAGTATAATGAAGCGGGAAGTAGTACTACTGATACGTCACAGCTTGTAATCGCTTCGCAGCACTTGTTATGCGTTTTTTGCAGCTATGCAATGCAGAAAACGCATAATGACGAGGGGCAGTCTGAGTGTGTGTGTCTGTGTGTCCGTGTGTGCGCCTGCCACCGTTTTTCATCTCAAGACCTACAACAGCTACAGGGCTGAAACTTTGGGAACTTAATCTACATGCACGTGCGGGCCCCAATCCCCGAAATTGGTGCCATCACCCGCGTGGTACCCACGGACGGGCCCGCCAAAATTTTTTTCAGGTAAGTTCATAACTCGGGGATCTGAGAAGCTAGAAAGCTGAAATCTTAGGAGAATGTTCCCCGTCCAAATCGATATTAGTGAGCTCAAACCCAGCCCCCGAGTAAGCGTGGTACCCAAATACGGGCCCGCCAAAACCTTTTTCGAGTAAGTTGATAACTCGAGTACCTGAGGAACTAAAGGGCTGTAATTTTAAGAGGATATACCCCGTCCACCTAAGTTTCATTCAGCTCAAACCTGTTTTTTCCAGTAAGTTGCTAACTCAGGTGTCAGGGAAGCTAGAAAGTTAAAATTTTAAAGGGATGTTTTCTGACAGTTCTGGCGGCCAGTCTTAATTTGTTTAGCTAGAAGCATT